ATTAGAAAAATTTTATCTTAGAAACAGATCTTTGGGTGATTAGTGTTGCATATAGAATCTGTAATTAAAACTAGTTAGATGGAGGTCATGTTATTAATTAGGCCAAGTCGTATTTATTAAATTGAAGTAAGTTGTGACGAAAATATAGTTAGGGCGTGACCTACCAAAATAAATGGTATTGAAATTTCGATGGCGAAGACCTCGCATAATTCTCTCAAGATATCATGAATTGATTGAATTTTTTTTTTCTTTTGGAGTGGGGAAGGGGGGTGGACAATGAGTTTGTAAGGTCGATGTTACGTTAATCTGTCATGAGCATGTCCTGGAGCCTAATTTGTACTCACAATCTCATTGATTATATATGTGATGAACTAAGAGTAGTCAAGAACTAATATTAAAAGATGCAGTCATACAATACATCTAGCATATTGTTGTTCATCATAAAATAAATAGAAGAAAAAATAAACAGAAGATTTACAAAAAACAATTAATTAAAGATCGAAAATGAAAAGTAGAAAGATGTCACCGAAAGTATGAGGAGCTTGAGCTAAAGTGTGGATCAATCACTTTCTTTAGGACGTTTCGTGTCATTGGTGCAGCAGATTTTTATGGTCACGCCGCCCCCAGGATACAATAGCCTAACCTCCTTGTTGTATCTTTACAAGTACTGCCCTCTTGTAAAGAAAGCTCTACCCTACCACCTTTTCCTTGCCTAAAGAGAGTTTGTATATTGTGTTTGTGAAATAAGAATGCAGATAATAAAAATTGTATCAAATCTTTTTGGTAGAAATGGAGGCTGCCTATTTATAGGCTTTTACAATGTAACTGGAAAATAAAGTGTGAGACTGTTATGAATTTAAAATAAATCTTGTCGGTTACAAGAATGAAAAGGTTGATAAGTAAATCGTGCATCTCATCGGTTACAAAAAATATAATAATAAAACAACAGGTTGTAATATTAAAATATTTGAATTTGATTTAGAAACACACAAATCCATTCTTGAAGCAGGAAGGCATGAATTTGTAACTGACACCATGAATTTGTAACTGACACAAGATTGATTTTTTGAAAACAATGAATTTGTAACCGGCTGGAATTGATTTTGAAAATAATGAAATTTGTAACTTTTAATTAAAATCTCCAACATTCCCCCTCCATTTTAATTAAAAATAAAAGAAACTTAGAAGATGAAAAATATATAGGAA